GAGCTAAATGTTAGAATATAGTTTTGGTCCCTAAATTATTATTGTTTTTATTTTCCTTTGTGCTCAAACATGGCAGATGGCAGCTAGTATTCTGTCCAGGTAGTGTTACACATTAACACACTTTTTTTCATTTTTTATGATTAAGGCCAAGTTGTGCTCCATTGATTTAATGTAATTGTTTTTATACCAGGCCTTCAAAAATCCTGCACAATCAAAGTAATCTAGAACGGTCACTGTAGGTCTGTGGACTATCTAGGTTGAATTTTGTTAAAGAAAGTTTTACAACCTGTCAGGACCAAGAATTCCTTTTACCTTCATGTTACTGTTCTGGGTGGGCAGCAGACGACTGCAGTTTGGATGAATTAAAAATGTAAAATTGGGTAGAAATAGTGCACAAGTGACTGTGAACTAACTAGTTTCCATGAAGGTGATATTGATAATGATGATATATGAGGGGTTGCAGTGTGCTTCCTATAGCTGGTATACTGTAGAATAACAGCAGCTGTCATGTTTTTATGCAAACCTATCACCTCTGTTCTAATGCACGTCCCTTGGGTAAACTTTTTTGGTTGTAGTTTAGTCAATATTTAAAAGGCTGGGAACCACTCAGAAGCACCTCATCTCAGAACAGAAGAACATTTATTTTTTGATTCCACAGTTTTAAGAACTCTGCTAGAACTCTTTATTTATCGCATTCTATGTCAGTCTTGTTGAAGGGTGAATTTTATTTGTTAGGTCAACATAAGATGTTCTCTAGAGGTTCACTTGGTTAAGTAGTTGTTAAAAACAGCCCTTCCTTTATGCTCTCTGGGCTATGTGAGCGGTTTTGTGTGCTGCGATACCAGTAGGTGAGTGACTGATCTGGTAGTAGTGTGAACCCTGGTCCCTCCAGCTGCTAGGAGCCGCTCCCCGCTGCCCTCTGAGGCGTTGCTGGGAGGTTTGTTCTGCCTGGTTGCTGTTGTCTGCCTACGTACTCTATTCCCCTGAGTAGCGGTGTCATCATGATGCGAGTTGAAACCTGAGTGCCGACTACATGCATGGTCAGGCCGTTCTGTCACCTAGCCACCCTACTGGGACTGACCGTGACAGGAAGGGTGCCCAAAAACATACCCAGAGACCTCTTTGTCTCACACTATTCCTAAAATAAGAATCCATGCTTCTTCAAATGCTGCCCTCTGTGCAGAACATTTCTCACAGAAATCTCTCCACGGATGCATTGACACACACATGCCTTTCCTTTCACATTCACAGGACATTCAACAGTCATCATTGTTTAATAAAGTTAAGGCTGGAAAAAGCTAATCCTTTCACTGGCATTCATCAACAGCCAATATGATAACCATACCTCTTTATGGCCTTGAACCTCACGTTGACAGGGAAAACCAAAGGATAAACATAAGAACAATGCATACGAGAAGAACTAGATGGACTGTTTGAGCTGACTGTGGCCTCTGAAGTTATCTTGTTAACACAAACAAAAACATACTTTTGTTTGGCTTTAAAACGAAAAAGAAACTTAACCGTAACTCTTGTTGGAGTTATCACCTGTATTCTATGTCTTAATTTTGACTGGATGGCGATCAAGTGAGAAAAGGTACAGAGTCTACAACCGTACTAGTAACTGAAGCCAATAAATGCTGAACAACAGTTACTTCAACGAAAATTACTTCAGCACTCAAAATAGAAAAGATGTTGGAACCGACTGCCTTTATGTAGCTCAGTAGAGTTATGAGCTGAAAAAAACTGCACATGGCTACAGTGGCATGATACTGGCTAGTCCGTTTGAATTATGAGCAAGCCAAATACAACAACAGCTCGTTACAAATGACATCATGTTGTTTCACAGAAGCATATTCCTTGTTAATCAATAGATCCTGTTTACGGGAATATGCACCTTCAAAGTACAGTGACATAAGGGCTTTAAGGAAGGCAGGGCTCACATTTTTACCTCATCGCCAGGCATGTGCCAAAGTGTAGGTTTTAGTTCTTGCAACTGATATTATTCTTGCATATTCCTAAATCCTCACAAGCTCATTGATCAACCCAGTATCGAGCATAAATGTATACCAGCTGCACTATGCAGAGAGCCAGAGGTAACCACAAAGGAGCAACACCACCTGATCTGGATGTTTTCAAACCATTCAGTGACCTGTTACCAGTGCATATAATCCCCATACATATGGGCCAATAGGGACCTCCTTCACTTTCTAATTGGCTCGGTCTATGGGTTATAATCCATTCTGATAACTGATAAACACAACCTTTTGCAGTCATGTGAATATGTGCATGTAAAACCTTCTATGGAGGCGTCACACAGCTTTGTAGCTTGTCATGAATGTAGTGACGGTGTGTATTTTAACCCAAACCAGCCTTTTCTGAACATAACCGAGTAGTTTTGATGAATAAGCTAATACTGATCGAAACCCGCAAGTAAACACATCGTGAAAAAAAGTGGGAAAAAAGAAAAAAAGTTGAAATATTGTACTATATTATACTGGAGGGAACCATTTTGTTTTTTTGTTGTCATTTTCTTGTTAGTCAGCATAGTTGCCTTAGAAATATAATAGTTAGGATTAGATGTTTGAGACATGGTTTCAACAACCTTAATGACAGCATGTCAGGCAGGTTAAACAACCTTTTCTGTTTCAGCATTAAAATACTTTGGTGTCCTTCAGGCTTTCTCTCAAAGAATCTGCTTCTGTCGGCACCCAGGACAAATGAAACAAGCTACTGAACCTTCTTCTTGCTGCCTTTCCTACCTCTACACACACACACACACACACACACACACACAAACACACACACACACACGCACACACACACCATGCTGCTGTATTCATCACTCAGTGAGACAACCACTCAAACAGCTACACCTTGCTGACATGCGACATTCAGGAGAGGACACTCTTCAGAGTTATCACTGAGCTCCTCTGCTGAAGAACAGCTGACAGGATGCTCACGTTGGCAAATCCAAAGCCAAATATTTAGGCATCAAACAGGTAAACAGGCTGCGTGGCTTCCTCGCCCAACCCGCGATTAACAGAGTGTCAAGCACAGGAAGTTTAGTTCATTAGCTGGGTTAACAGAGTCCCCAGATAAGGATGTATAAACAGCTCCACCTTGCAGTGGCTACAGAGACAACTTGCCCCTTGGAAAAGGCAGTTTTCCACTAGGGCCAGGGTGCATGAATATTTTAGATGGGTAAATAATTAATAATTAACAACAAACAGGCCACTGATCAAATGGAACAGTGTGGCAACAGACATGAAAAATCTGACTCTTGTAAACAAAGACGAGGGGACCCAGATTTCCTCCCCTCTTTCCACCTTCTTTTCTCGCCTTTTAAATATGCGCATCTTCAATCGCCCCCTGCATCGCCGTAAAACCACACACATACAAAAGGCACATGTATGAACACACAAACTCCATATCAGCGACTCTGACAAACACACACAGAGTCCTGTCATAACCCCCTCTGTCACTCACTCACATTCATACCCACACTTATTTTCCTTTAGAAGAATGAAATTTTCGCGTATTCCTTGGCAACCCAGGGAATATGACTGAGCGAGAACACTTGATCTGGCCACCCGCTGTTTTCTGATGGAAAGATTTGCTTTTTAATACAATCGTCACTCCTCCCACCTGGATATGCCACGCCAAGGCAAATCCCAGCTGTGTGACTCTAAAACCTGACAGAGCTTAAAAATTCCCCTATTACAATTCCCTTAAAATGCCTAGCCACACTAACTCCAAACAATGGTAAAAATGCTAATCACATCTCTCATCAGCTTAGAGAGGCACGGAAACAGAGCCACCAATATGCAGGGTTTTGATACATGTGCAAAAAAAAAAAAAGTGAGGAAGAAGAGGATGAAGAAATCTGAGTTTTAATGACACACATTCACAGAAGCATCATGGCTCTTCAAAGCTGCTTCTTCAAAATCTGGTACATCTTGCCGCTTGACTTTAGCCAGAGGAGGCATTTCATAAAAATCAGACTTAATCGTGTAAACAACACACAGACAAACAAAAAAACCACTGCAAACAAAAATAAAACAACTTTGGAAGCTGTGCACGGATTGCCTTCAGAGTTAATTTTAAAGTAAGCATTCCCTTCCTTAGAGATTTTAATTAATGCTTTAATATGCAAATAAGTAAGCAGAGATAAAATCATGACAAACAGATGGCAAGTGTGGGTAATTATTTTGTGAATCCAGCAGGGGCATGTATTAAAGTTATGGCATCATTTTCCTCAGGCCTCTGCAGCCACGGAAGGTAGAGAGGGGGGAAAAAACACAAGTACCACTGATGAACTGAGACACAAACGACTTACTCGTGACAAATCTGTGACCACAGCAAGTCTGACATGACAAAAGACATAATGTGAAGGATAAGAGCTGCTCGAGTCACCAATAGAAGGAAAATTTAAATGAACACAGTGATAGTCATTTGAGCGCTTACAGAGCTGAAAGACAGAGTGAACCCATTTGATTATGACAGCACGCGCAGTAGGCGGAGGGCAGAGCAGAGGTCATTGACTGCTGTAGAGTAACACACATCACCATTGAAAAGACCAGTCAAAGTTTGTATGCGCTTAAATAATCCTGTGAACAAAAATATTCCACCACAAACTCAAAAATATTTCCACTTTTCAGAGCCCTTCAAGGACTGCTCTTCTACACTGGTGTTAGAAGGTCATCCTTGAAACTCGTTTTTAGCTCAAATCTAATGTCAACATTTTAACAATGCTAACATGCTCAAGATAGTGTTTTAATAGTGTTCTCCGTCTTAGTTCAAACATGTCTCATGCTAAGATTTGCCAACTAGCACCAAACAAATAGTTCAGGCTGATGGGAACATGTTTAGGTTTTTCTGCCATTCTCATCTAAAATACAGTAAAAAGTAGGGAGAGATGTTGGGTTGGTCACGTTTCAACAGAGGAGCCACTGATGTGATGAGGATTTCAGACACCCATATGTACTTATATGTGCACCCACCTGCTCCTGTGAGGGTGTGTGGTCCACATCCAGACTGGCCAGAGAGCGGTTGATTCGAAGGGCCAGACTGAGGGCCATCAGGCCTCCGACCTTCACGTCGTTCTGACGGAGGTCCAGTCTCTGAATCTGACGGCTCTCTGCGAGGAACTCAGCCAGTGCCACAGCACCTTCGCCAAAGAAAGCAGTGATGTCAGAAAGTTAGAAGATCTACCTGTTGGAGTAGTTTTAAAGGTTGGTCCATATTGCATTTACTAGATTACGTATGACTCCATTTCTTTTACCTTGATACCTATTAGATTGAGCTCTCTTTTAAACTTTAAAGCTGTCTAACTAAAAAAAAAAAAAAAAATTCTACATCAAGCGTTTGGATACATTTTGAATCCAGAGCGGCACTGCTTTGAGAAACACATTTTAATTCATGTAAACATGCTGTTCATCTTTTAAAGTTGCAAATTAGAGCATTACAGGGGAAACGGTTAATCTGGGAGTGATTTTGTGTCACAGCAAAGGTAAAGGCATGTCTAATACTATATACTATATACTCTATACTAATACTAGAGCTCCTTTTTTTTTTTTTTTTTTAGCTCTCGAAAAAATAAAAATAAAAGAGATAAACAACACAGAGCTGAAGGAGAAAATTACCAGTTGAAAAACAAATAAAATATGTTATCTTGAAATATCCTAAAAAATTATCACTGGTAATTTAAAAACAACTAACAAATGAATAATCAGTTCTGGCTTTTTAAATGTGGGTATTTTCTGTCTTTCTTTTGGACTGCGGGTTGGAAAAAACAAGCTAAAAAATAAAAATGTCAGCTTGTTGTGCAGGAAATTGTGGTGGGCATTGTTACTGTATTTTGTCATTTTATAGACATTCATGAATAATCCACAGATTATTCAATAATGAAAACATTAAGTTGCAGGCAGTCCCATCTGTGGCTGATGTGAAACTAAAGTAATGTAATACTGATATTTATTTGAAATCGGATCTAAAAATGATGGTAAAATATTACTACTGAATTACCTTGTTAACCTATCATATTCAAAACTAGAAGAAAAAACACTTTACTATCAACAGCACATTACTTATGTTCATTTTATAATATACAAAAATATATATACTTGAACTATAAATAAAGGTTATTTAGCCTCATCTTGATGAAAACTTCTTCAGTTGTAACACAGTCACACACTCTACAAACACTGAGACGATGTTTGTGTACTGTACCTTCACAGGTGATGTTTGCTTGGGCCAGGCCAAGCTGCAGCACTGAGCAGTTCACCATCAGAGGCTCCCTGATGACCTGAATCCCTTTGTTACCCAGGTGGTTCTCCCCCAAATCCAGGACCTGCAGGACCTTCAGCACTGGCTGCAAAACAAGTCACAAGGTCACACTGACTCATTTCAGCTCTTACCTAAAATAACAAACTGTTCAGTCTGGAGTTTTTATATATATATTTTTAAGAAAATGCAGAATTTTAAGCATTCTAAATTTAAAGCAAGTTAGTCTTAGTAAGTTCAAATGACTTCCTTGACCCTCCAGTGCTTTAGGCCTGGCTTATGTGTAAGCATGCTACTTACAGTATGCAACCGAGTGTGGAAAGACTAAGAAGTTTTAATTATCATTATTATTATGCAGTGATTATTATTCCTTTTCAAAATGTTTCCTCTCATGTTAAATGCTCAGAACTTCTGTTTTCACTCTCTAGAGCCACATTAGCATTGAAGGTTGATTAGCTGGTGCATAAAGCTGGGGGTGTCTGGGGCACGAGGGGCCCATGTTGCCCAACAGCTTGAAGAGGAACGCACCACCCACTCCTCGGTTGCCCCCTCGCCTCGCCACCCTTGTTAAACTCCTCTGGTCACTGCTCTGAAGAGAGAGGGAGCACGGGGGCGGAAAGGAAGCCAGGAAGGCAACTGACAGACCCAGAGAGCGTCTTCTTCGGAGTTAATTTGCACCGCGGTGACAACAAACACACTTGAGAGGGCCCCCCCTTTTTCCTCGCTGAGGCACCGCCACATCCAACGCGTGGCAAGAAGTTTCTCCGGTGAAGATGGGAGGAGGAAAGAGAGGAAGAGCACCCCGAATGGATATGCACAAGGGATAATAGCAGACAATTAAAGAGGCGACTGCGTGGTTGAGAGTGTGTGAGAGTCAAGCACGGTTGAAACCTGTCAAACGTAAACCACGGGAGGGTTGGAGTGAGAAGTTTGAGGGGGGTAGGAGTGTGAAGCCACCAAAAGCACAGTACGCTTTCACACATGACATGCTGGCTTTAAACAAAAAAAAAAAACAACATAACAGCAAATGCATGCAAAGTAGAAAAAGAAAAGAAAACGAGAGTGCCGCATGACACGTTCACCTAAGGAAAAAAAAACATTTTTAGAATTTTTGCAAGCAAAGATTAAATTTAGAAGTAATCAACTAAATTCTGCAACTTGAAGCTAAGTGGATTTTGGCCCACATCTGCCACCGTCGCCTTCGTCGTTCAGAAGATACCACAACAAGCCAGGAGGACAGAGAGGAAAAGCAGATACAGCAACTAGAAAGGTTAATAATAGTTCTTCTCCTTATCATATTTGACACAACCAGCTACAGGTCTAATTATCATCATTATGGCCTGCAAGGACAGTGACTGGCAGGCCACATGAGCAGCCCTCCTTAACACACATCTATTATTTAATCAAACTGTTCCTTCTTTTGGTAGCACTTGTGGAAACAGGGGAAGTGTGAGTGTGTGAGCTTACGTGGCAGGCCTTTAATTTCTAGCCTTTTGACTTCCACAATCGCCACTCACATGACAGGAAGGTGCAGTTTATGCTGCCAATCAGGCGGAAGGAATGCATATTATTAGGAGTGTACAATCAGCTGGGTGGAGGTGGGACATTTTTAGAGGGGAATTCTTTGGAAGAGGCTCAATTCCGCAATGCCAGAAAAAAGAAAGCAGGTACCCACCGGACAGTTAAGTTCAGCTTGTATCTATATCCATAAGATAAGCAAAAATGATTATTGTATAAGTTTTTACCATTTTCCTGATAGGACTCCAATAAAGCATATAAAATTTGGTTGATCAGACACTACACCAAAGTCCTCGGGTTGTTTTCATCATTGACCTCAAACATGGGACCCTGGCCTGAAGTAAATCTATAAAGAATTTGGTTTACTCTGGTGTTGTGATTGTAGAGTTCATCCACCTTCTTGAAACAGATATAAAAATAGCAGGGAATGCATCCATGTAGAATCCTCTAAACAACATTTAATTGATTATGACATGCTTTGTCCTTCACTGGAAGTGGTAAGAACTTCAACCTTCCAACATGACTTCTAGCATCAGATCTGAGGATACCTCCATTTTTGTTTTAAAGCTTTAATAGGGGCACAATGCCTATGCTTTGCATAATCAAGGTAGCACTGAATCAGGCATTAGGTTAATTATTTCAAGCTGCCTCTCTCTAGTACGTTTGAATTTTTAGCTTTGAGATCCCAGAGAACTAATTCTGGGATTGACCCTGCCCAGTACATTTAAAGCTCCCACATTGCTGGCATCACTATCACAGCAACAACAGTTCTTTATTTAGTAGGAAACGTGCACACAAAGCAAAATTGTAGTTTCTTAATATTGGGTGACAAATTAAAGGATAAACCTGAACTTTTGATTCCTACAGTGAGTCCAGTGGCTCTGTTATGCTGTAGGGGGTATTACACTGGCATAATTTATGCCTACCCTTAGAGGGGAGGGTCACTGCAAATCAATACAACATTGTGTTAAAGGATCACCATCATTCTATGATTAAACATTTCTGTCTTGATGGGAGTAGGGTCTTTCAGGATCCCAACATTCCCATTGATAGGCCATGACAGATCACAATCCTTTCATGAGTATCTTCCACCATCATTAAAAGACCAAATGGAAGAACGCCTTTTGGAAGTATGTTCCTTCCTCCAATAGCATTCCAGGGACTTGTAGCATCAATGCTGGGACTTGTTGAAGCTATTCAGATGGCATGTGCTACTTCCAAGCTTTTAGTCTTTATCAGGGGAAAAGGTTCCCATTTAATTAAGGATAACTTCAGTTGCTTCTCAAAATACTTTCCAAAGGTCCTTCTGATTGATAGAATTAAGGCCTGAGTGTTCTTTTCAGGGTCAGAGACAGTGTCCAAAACTTCCTGTCTGAGAGTGTGTCCATCAATTTCTGTTACTTTTTGAAACATGCAGTCCTACAAATACAATCATGTGAGAAAGCATTAACTATGTGAGCAAAATTTGAAAGGACATTTTAGCCCCTTTTATAAAGTTCAGTACATTTAATAACTCAAAAGTCAAACTTGGAGACAGCTGTACATGACTCTAGTCTTGCATGGTGGGCTTAGTTTGTGGTAACAGTCTTGCCTATCCTAGAATCAAGTTGATGTTGATCTGACCATCCTCCTCAGTTACCTTGAGTCTCAAACATTCGAGGCTTGAGGAGGACTTCAGCAGCAACAACAGCCGGCAGGTGTGGCAAGAGGTCCAGCACATCACCAATTTCAGATCCAGCAACACCACGGCAATCTCCGGGGATGCCTCACTGGCTTAACCACTTCTTCGCCCGTTTCGAGGCTGAGCCGCCAACGAGGCCCACACTGCAGCTGACATCCCCCCAGAGCCAGACCTTGACTGTGCAGGTACAGGAAGTGAGGAGAATCCTGAGAGCAGTGAACCCCCCGGAAAGCTGCAGGACCTGACGGTGTGACAGGGAGGGTGCTGAGGAACTGCGCTGACCAGCTAGCTGGGATTTTCACCAGCATCTTTTATCAGTCCCTCACCCAGTGCCCCACCCTGCTTAAAGTCCTCCACCATCATTCCTCTGCCAAAAAAGAACAATATCAGCAGTCACAATGACTACTGGCCAGTGGCACAAACCCCCACCATTATGAAGTGCTTTGAGAAACTGGTACGGAGTCACATCACTTCATGCCTGCAACCCACACTCGACCCCCACCAGCCCCCCACCACCTGTAGAGCCAATGGTCTACAGAGGATGCCATCGCCACCGCTCTGCACATCACGCTGACACACATGGAATAGCGAGAGAGCTACGTGAGGCTGCTCTTCCTGGACTTCAGCTCAGCTTTCAATACCATTGAAATACGAGCAGATTGTCAAGCAAGCTGGAGGACCTGGGTCTCTCCCGCAACATCTGCAACTGGATCATGGACTTTCTGACAGACTGCTCCCAGAGGATGAGAGTAGGGCCCCATCTGTCCTCAGCACTGAGCACCAGCACCGGCTCTCCACAGGGCTGTGTGCTAAGTCCCCTACTCTACACCCTCTACTCTGCACCTTCACCCACCTGAACAACACCATCATCAAGTTTGCGGATGATACCACAGTGGTGGAGCTCATCTCTGGAGGAGATGAGACAGCTTAAATGGAGGTGGAGCGACTATCAGTCTGGTGCACCACCAACAACCTCATCCTGAACACCTCCAAGTCGAAGGAACTGATTGTCAACTTCAGGAGGTGTAAACCGGACATTCAGCCCATCACTATAAATGGGGACAGGGTGGAGATGGTGCCAGACTTCAGGTTCCTGGGCACCTACAAAGTGGACTGCAAACTCCATTTCAATAATGAAGAAGGCACAGCAGAGACTCTACTTCCTGAGGATTCTCAGGAAGAACAATCTAAGAACTGAGCTTTTGAGAATTTCAAAAAAGAACAGGAAATAATGACAAACAATTACAAATAAGATAAACATACCTTAGACAAGAGACTGGAGCAAAATACACATTACTTATGCATGGTCTGAACAGTGAAGCTCTCCTGTTTTCCAGGATCTTAGTCTTTAAGACGTAAACAGTGGGTTGATTGACATTCCCTCGGCATACATCCCCCATCAAGACCAACCCTCGGTCTAGCTTCTGAGCAAAGAGTTTGTTGCCAGGACTGTTCATCTGCTGCTCTGAGCACTCTGAGAACTTCTCTCCCAAGCAGATGAAAGATGTGGGCTTTATGATTCTGAGCTAAGATCCTGTCAGCAAGGATATTGAGGCAGGGGTGATAAAGAACAGTCTTGGGTGATCCTCATGACTGTCTGATATGTTATTGCATTCAGTCAGTGTTGGAAGTGCAACACCAGCGGCTCTCCTACCTGAACTCTCTCTAATGGTAGTGCATGTCTTGTGGTGTGGTTTACAGTCAGGCATGCCAAGGTCTAATGTTGCATGCCCCCGTACTCTACGCCCACATTTAAGGTATTTGCTCTTGCCATTCCTTTTCCACTGCTGCTGTGTGACAGGCAGAAATGTCACTGGTCTCCACTCCATTTTGTAACATTGACAGCTGAAGCATGGGTTGCACAGTGTGTAACTGCCCTGCTTGGAGTCTTCGCTGGGAGCAGTGTCATGCCATTGAGGTAGCTGCTCATTCACCTGTCACTGGGTTTCCAGCTGACCAAGTGTCTCTGTTCTGTTGAAGTGTTTGGGCTGTATTCTACAGTGTGTGGCCTATCACGGCTGCTGCATCCTGGTGGAACTGCTGTGTTGGTTCATTGTGCAGCGGTTAGGATTGTCGCCTCACAGCTAGAAGGTCCTGGGTTTATATCTCGGCCTGGAATCTTTCTGTGAGGCGTTTACATGTTCTCCCTGTGCCTGTGTGTCTGCACTGAAAGTAAAATTCCCCTAGGTGGCATTGTTGGCAACACACGCCCTCACATCTCTAACATCTTATGTACCACCACAGGGAGTTTAAGGTGTTAGGTACCTGTGGAGGTGGACTAGCATGTAGAGCTCTAAGATGACTGTCACTGTTGCACTCAACACACGTCATGCAGTTGCCAGTTGCTGGTGAGATGCAAAGATGGTCAGGAAGGCTTTGCTGTCTTCAAAGGTTTTAATCTGAAGCCATGGCATTTCCTCAGCGGGCACAGGTTTTACTGATGAGGCAGTGTTTAGCTAGTATCTTTAGATGCTGTTTCAGCTGTAGCTGTTGTAGGCGAGACCCTGGTCTCATGCACTGTCTGCAGTTTATGTGCTTTAGGTAGGGAGCTGCTGCTAGCAAGTGCAAAGTTGGAGTCATTTCTTATTCTGGTCGGATGGCAGATGAAACGGGCGAAGAAAGCAAAAGGGGGATAAAAGACATGACACTCCTTAAACTTTGAGGCTAAAGCAAATTCTGTTTTAAGTTGTAAGACATCTTCTCCACATTGGGGCTGATGCCGCATCCAAGTACACCAAGGCTGGTAGATAGCCATCCATCTTAGCTTAGAGAAGATTCCCTAGTTCTCCTAATTTGTAGTAGTCCTTACTTGAAATATTGGATAAATTGTCCATCTTCTTAAAAAGAGAACTTTCTATGACCTTAACAGCACTGTGACACCCACCATAACTACTCTGGGTCATTTTTAGAGTCTCTTCCAGGTTGCTGGTAAACTGAACTGCCCTCAAATGCCCTATGTCTTCTGACAACTCTTTATGCAAGCCATTTTCACTAAAAGTCCAAATTATCACCAGCAACAAGGTCCAAGTCTTACATCATATTGAGGAAAGATGACCTCTATGAGGACAGATGACCTCTATGCTCTATATTTCTGGATAGTCATCAATAGGTTGGTCCTCACAAGCTCTGTTCATGCCAGATAGTTTTCCAAATTCATCATAACTAAAGGTTCTGGAAGATGTACGAGCAAACACGACACTAATTTACCAAACCTGAATGCAGAACTTTGCCCTTTATGTTTCTACACACACAGCTGACAATCATTGGGCACTAAATTCAGTCAGCAGCTGCAGGGTGGGGTAACCTTTCTGTTGTTTGGTTTCAGAACACATTTAGGTAGCATTATTTGATTAAGTTCTAAACTAAAAGCTGGTATGTTCCTCACCAGAGCCTTGGCCAGATGATCCATGCCTTTTACAGTGATCTGGTTGTCCCTCAGCAGTAAGACCTTCAGACCTGCTGTCTGCCACCTCAGACCATCACAGAGTTCTTCCAAGCCTGCATAATCAGAAGAAAAAAACATGGAATCATTATGAAATTACCAAAGTGTGTTTAACTTTACTACTTGTATATGCTGGTGTTTGAAAGTGAATAGCACTGCCAGATGTTTAGTGGGAGTGTTGCTGTAGAGTTACATATGATTTATAGCTAAATATGCAGAAGGTTACTATATGCTTTACCTTTTCACATAACCATATTAATTAGGTAATAAAACACCTGCACTGTTCAAGTTTGCAACTTACAGTGTGATGACCTGTCCCACTCTATTGAACTATATTGTTGTTTTACTGTTTCTTCATTGTAAGTTTCTGTCAGACAGAGTTAGGTCAGTCATTGTTTAATGAGCAAAAAGGCCTGAGAAAATTATTACTACTGGTTAATAGGATGTGTGGAACTTTCAACTAACTTCTGCAAATTTTGCTCTGACTCACAATAACACAATGTGAACAATAAGAGTTCAGGAACACAGTTTTGTCGACAAAGCAATTTAGCATCAAATGAATAGTGAGACACTTTCCACACAGTCACACTTTCTCCAACTTACTGTGTACCCTTTCTTTGTTGTTATTTTATGTCCATATCATTTCAAAAACGATTCTATTCAGCACCCATTACAACAAGCGTACTACATTAAATTAATTTCACAAATAGGATGAATCTTTTTGCTCTTGCAATCACACACTGCAGTGAAAACATGGCATTTTACATATTAAATTGGCACTTTGCAGCTCTAAATAAACATAGTTTTTGGTGTGTAACAAAAATATGCATCTTACCAGCATCTGCTATAGCATTGTTGCTAAGCTCCAGTGTCTGCAAAGTAGTGTTGTATCGTAGCAGGTCTCCCAGCTGCAAGGCATCCTGGTAGCTATTCAACAGGTTGTTGGTAAGGTGAAGCTCTTTCAAAGCTCTGTTTGTCTTCAGTGTACCAGCTACAGGCAGCAAGAAAATAAACAGGTCTCTTGATGGGCAGAAGCACAGTTCAAAGTTTGCAACACTCAATTCAAGTACCATTATTCTCCTCAAAATTTAGTTTTAATTTCAGTTTTTCCTTTTCATGTAAAATCAGGAATCTGGTTATCCAAATCCTTACAATAGAGGTGCCAAGTGCAAATGTATCATATTAGTAATGTTGGAAATGACAGAGATTGTTTCCCTGTTCCCAATCAAGAGTATATTATATATATGATTATATATAATATGTGTACAGTGTTCATTGGTGAGAAGCCAGCTGGAGATCAGGCCTGTGTAGGTTGGTCAGTGCATTGGGGATGGATAGAATCTGTGGGTATCATGTGAAGCGTCTGCAGATTGCACACAACTAGTGAGATTTCTGGCTACAGAGTGTAATAAAAATACATTTGCTACTCCAACAGGGGATCCAAAAGGTGACCATACTCTGATCCCTTACACCATTAAGACATATTGTTGTTTTAAAATTGATATTATACTGTATCTGTTGTACAAGTCTGTCCTCTCAGTGCCACACATGAGGCTTACGGATTGGAACTGGGTGAACATGAGCATGAAAATGAGAGCACAGTAAGGATGGCTGCCATCTGCAGTTATTGTAGTAAAGAAGCGTCCTCCTTTACCATTCTAACATGCACAAGCTGTTGTTGAAACTAGAGTCTTGACCTAAAACCTTGCAAACCCCCCCCCCCAAAACAAATTCACCATGTATGCCATTGTAAAAACCTTACAGTTTTTATTATGACAGCTTAGATAGTGTTTTGGAGACGTATTTTGTCTGTATGTGTGTGTTGTGGACTGTCCCTGTGTATTTGTGTGATGCATTCTCTACTGTGGTACACATGTGTCCATGTTGCCTGGGCCCTCTCTGCTCTTGCATCCAGATCGATGCTGCAGATTTGATCAAGCCTGTTGGGCTGCATGTGGAATGCCAACATTGTCATCAGGCACAGTGGGAACCAAATGGTGGAATCGGTGGGATTGATCCGGTCGACTCCACCGTGAGCGCCCAATCCCGTAATCAGAAGCCCCTCCGATCGAAGGCAATGATCCTCAGCTGGAACCCCCTGCTAGGAGGGAAGGGGGCGGGGGTGCTGGTGGGCTCGGTACAGGCATGATGATGGTGTTGGGTGTGGGGTGAGGGATGAGCGTTGGGAGGAGGAGGGGGTTTGGCAGACCCTAAAATATCAAAGAGATCCAGGAAGCGGCTGAAAATGTTGGAGGAACAAGTTACTGTCAGGAAGAGTGGGCAGCATACTGTGTCCATTTGGGTCTGTCTCTGCTCCCGGCTGAGAGACTGTGTTCGTTGTTTGGATTTTTTGTCCTGACAAAATGTCTGAAACGGAGACTGATTTATCATGACATCAGTTCCTTTACAAGGTTTTTTAAAAATTGTTTTTTTTGTGATTTTTATTTGGTTATATGATCATTAAAGTAGATATTAAACACTGCAACATTACTATCTAGTTCTGTATCTTAAGGCTATTATTAACTCCCTCTATTACACAGGACTTGTGTGAGTGTGTGTGCATCTGTCCATCCATGTGCAGCACTCAACCCCCCTCTGAGTGTTGTGTTTTCCCATGGTGAGTGTATTTATATGAGTGTATACTCATCCAGTAATTGTGTGTCTGTGCCTGTATCAACACAATATTCATTTGTGGTCATGTGACCTTCCCAGCAAGCATCCCACTCCTCCCTTCCCCTCCTCCAACAGCAGCCGATCAATGAAGGTCAGAGAGGACGGACTTTGCTGAAGTTGCTGTTTTGATTGTTTTCTAAAAATTTAAACACATTAATAATAATTGTCTAATAAGTTCTGTAAGTGTGCATAAACATAAATGTGTGGCCATATATAATTAAGAAGTTCATGAGCTTGTACGGATCATATTCAGGTGTGCACTATGAGAAAGGAAAACATGTCTTGGGTCATATTTTAGTTCAAGAGACTATATGTGAATCCAAAATGTGTGTGTATGTGTGTGTCCTGGCTGCCAGAGCCTTTATAGACATGTGCAGTGGTGTGTAAAGTGACAGGTAAGAGATTAGGCCTCTAATCCGGGTCCAGACCTGCAGAGAGGGTCACAGGTCAAAATCTGGTCCTGCTGGCCACAGAACACACGAGCAAACAAACACACACACACACAACACATATGCATTTCCATTTCTAGGTACACAAACTGAAGTGTGCGCACAGTGCTTATTTTCAGACATTTTTTTTCTTTTTTTATTGTAAAAAATATGAGCTTGATGTATCATGAGTGAGCACTGAGCAGCTGACGCATCAACTGCTGCACATGACTGTGTGCGTGTGCATGTCTGTGTGTGTGTGTGTCATACCTAGTGTGTATAGAGGCATGCCGCTGAGCTGGGCATTGTGAAGGTGTAGCACTGTGAGCCGGCTGGTCAGCAGAGCTTTAGATAGAGACTGGGCGGGATAGTCAACCACAGGCACATTACATACATCCAGTCTGGACAGTCGCACACTCTGAAAGACACACACATTGTGCCAAAGCATGAAGAATGCAGAGAAATTCCCAGTTAAAGCCCAGTCTACCTCAGGAATACCGTAAGATGAGTAAGAGCAGTGAGTATGATGACAGAAACACTGTCAACAATGTTTTTATTAGAGTAAAATCCTTCCTCTTTTTTTGTCTGAAGCATTAGATTTTTATTTGTGCACTTCCTAGAATCCTAAAATGGATGTTCATTTAGATTTAAACATCGTGTATTCTAGCTTTAACAAGGAACTAAATCTTTCCGTAGCCTTAGGTAAGTCGGTGAAGTTACCGAAACCCAACCACAAAAACCTTCATCATGAGTTGTCAGGAAACAGATGCATACGTTCAACATATGTTTGTTTTGAGATTTTGAGAGTTTTTAATAAAGTCATACACATAAACTTTTTGTATTTAGCCAATGGTTTGAAGGCAGACCCTTCGCAAACATATCTGTCAAAGGCCTTTATGCTTTTATGCACATCAGAGTGTGCCCTCCAGTTTAATTTCATTGTGGTTAGCCCATGTGGTTCACATCCAAACCTACACTAATGACAGATTTGCTAAGCAGACACATGCCAGTCTTCTTTACAAGCACTCAAATGAAGATTCCAAATCAGTCCGTTGGTACTTACATATTCAACAAAATAATCTGGACACAAAGTTGTGCTGCATTGTTTTGTTCTCATCCCGCCCCTCCCTGATCACAGTAACCTGTAAGTCAGTGAGTGGTAACAGTTGTGCCTATTAATGCTATCTGTGATTCTGCAGTAATCCAGTGTGTGCATGTCCTGATGTGTTGATACTTGTGTTTGCAGTGGGACGACTTCTCACCCTGTTTGCACTGCCCTCCATCTTCTATCCATGTAATGTGCCACAAACTCACTTTCTAGGATGTACATTATCCCTTGGAGAAAGCCTACATGAAAAGATTACTATTCCACTGCGTCAGCCAACCTGCTTTATCAAATGAGCAAGGGCCCTCCAACCCGATGTTCCCATACTGCTGTTGTCAGAAATGTCAAGATGTGTTGTAGATTCATAGTATAAAATCATATCCAGCAAGGACGATGCTCCCTGGAAAAGAAAAAAAAAATGGTGAAGGAAAAAAATGAAGAAAGCAAGGCCCAAATTTGACAGGAACGTTATGAAGTTTCTTTGGAAAGAAAAAAAAAAAAAAGCCTCTAATCTGATACAAGAAAAGGCCTGAATATGAAACTGTATTGGAACTGGAAGACGAAGATGAGGAAAATAAGTTTTGCTCATAAAACTCACATTTTCTTCCAGTTGGGCTGCCTGCAGATTGATGAAATCAAAGTGCAGCGATTTCAGGACGACTTCCAGAGCTTCACAGGAGCGGTGGTCTAATCGCTCACCTTGATGGAGGCAAGCAATCAAACGGAAGATAATTGGGAGGCTGTTTGCTAACAGGCAAAATTGCACTACTCTAAATGTGCTTTATCCTTTTTTCTGAAATGAACATTTCAGCAAAAATCACGACAAAACAACTTCCTTTATAGACAAAGTTTATCCGTGTGTGTGCGTGTGTTTTCTTTTAATAAAGTTCTGAGACTTAATCAGAAACACAGAAAGAGAAATAATGATGACAGCTCCAGTTTTTCATGATTGGACTTCCAAGCTGTGAATGCTCGAGTCTCCATTGATTACTGTCTGCCTGCAGACCATTGTAATCAATAAACATAGCTGTATACAGCAGCTCAACTTCTAAAAGTGCCAAACGTAGTCAGATTACTTAACCTCAAAAAAACCACATTGAGTGTAGAATGAACAATTAAACAATGTATAATAGTGATATATTACAATATATAAACTGTCAATTTAGTCCTATTACTGGAATCCAGCGGCAGATTGTAATTAAATCCATTCATTTGTTGTTTACTTTAGTATTTCCAGTTGCTACTTTATACTTTTACTCTACTACATTACAGAGAAATGCTATGCTGTGTTCCACCCAACAGTATAAATGGCAGTTAAAAGCTTCACTTTGGCCGGTGCAAATACTATTGACAAAATATAGTATATACTTAAATAATATAGTGTCCTACACAATGTGCACCTTAGCATAAAAAAGAAAACTATTTACAATATCCACTGATGTACAGAGTATGTTTTACTTCATTTTCCTGAACACTAACATTTTAGCAGATACTACAATAGATACTCAGATATCTTTTCTTTTTTTCTACATTTTTAAAAATTTAATTTCCTACTTGTAGTGTGATGTACTAGAAGAACCTCATACATTCATGTAAAGCTCCCTTTCTTTGTACTTCCTGTTTCTATTTCTGTTCTTGTACCTGGTCACATGCAGTGTGTAACATACTGACGCTGGTGCATATTTCTGTACAGTTTTGCACAACAGCATCGCGACACACAAACAAAGCTGCAACTTTCTGTACAGTGTGTGGCTTTTAGATGGATTGCTGAAACTGGTGCCCTGGCCTTTAGGTAATGCACTACATCATCACTTGAACCCCGCACCTGTCTTTGTGTTATACCCTGTGCAGAACGAGAGGAAGACCCGATGTTGCTGTTGCATTGCTACCATGCTACACCCTCAGTGGAGAGGGTGAGCTGAATCAAATAGAAACTGTGTGCAGAAGTTGTTGAACTGAAGGTGGTTATGTTTCTGGAAAAACAATCGCATATGTTAAATCATTTGTGACAAAACCTGAATGCATCTTGAACACCACTGTGCTGCACTTGTCATCCCCACATGCATTTCAGTCAGTCTGTCGTCCTACAAACACAAACTGCTCTCATCCGGGAATGATTCACTATCAGGGCAGTTGGACATCCAGAGCTACAGAGAGGTACTTCACCGTGTGAATCCTGACACTGTAATTGAACTGAGTGACCAGTTTTTCTTATTATTGACCTAATGTTCAATCTATTCCTTAGAATTCAGATTGTTTACATTTTTCAAAGTAAATGACAAAAATGGAATAGAACCTGAAACTGACCAATCGAAAGTATCATTCGTCCCCTGGTTTATTTGATCTGTTTACAGTATAATGTGCATGTGGTGATTGTACTCTTGCATTTTAGTTTGTCCTTATTCACAGGGAAATTTTCATTTTATTTTGTGAAATTGAACCAACTATGGTTGTTGAGTGATTACTGTGTTTTGGGGTTTGATTATCAGGGATCAGTTTATCCTTTTTGTAATCTGAATACTGAATACCTTCACACCCCATGTTCTTTCTTAAGGTAGTAAATGAAATGTATGAACTGTATTTCTTAATGCACTTAAGGAATTAAAGTTAACATTTTGTAGTCTGATTACAGTTGCTTCCCAGCCTTGATCAGAAGTCACACTCCAAATCAAACTGTGACTGATTGGACAAATTCATGTGACTTTTAAGACTCTAAAAGTCTGCCCCCCACCCCCTGCTCTCTCTCCTGGGCTAATTCTTATCTCCCCAGCCAAGAAGGGGAAATGATAATTACTATCATAATTATTTCCAAAATGATTTTTTCCCCTTCTGTTTTAACAATAATCACTTAACTGAGCGATGGCAGAGGGCGTGTGGGGTGTAAGGAAGAGCCATCTGAAATCCCATTTTTTCTAATCCGCCCTGCGTCTGGAAGATAATAAGGCAGCGACACCCGCAGTCAGATGTCATCAGTGCGTGACGACAGTGACGCCCATCATGGCATCGCACACAACTTGACACTGCTGCTGTATACAGATGTGTCTGCTGCTCTACTTCGATACAAGAGAGGACTCGTGGGGTTCTAAGACCTTTAAAGTGCGGAAGCTCTGTCCACCGTTCACTTGTGAAAGACGTTACTTAGCAGATGCATTTGGATTTAGGATTTTGCAAGGATCAGCTTTAGTTTAATGCCAGTCCTACAAACTGAATTTGGGTTCAGGTTTGGGTTTTACCCAATATTAGGCTTACTTTAATATAACTGTCACACAAAGGCCCCATCAAATTTGATTTATGATAAGAATTTAGTGTTAGAGTTAAAATGTGAACCAATATTAGGGTTAGTTTAAAGGAAGACCTGTCATCAGTTCAGGATTTATGTTTTGAGTAAGAATTTGTATTAATTTTGTGTTAGTGCTGCAATCAAGTTTAGCCTCGTATGAAGCTCAGAGTTGTAAATTGAACCAGAGTTAAGTGTTGTTTATTGTAAGAGGTACAAGTTTAGGATTAGGATGTACATAAAGTTGAAATGCAAAACAGGATTGCGGTTGGTCAAATGTTAGAACTAAAATGAAACAAGTTTATAGCCAATATTTTTTTTAAAGATCTGGTTATTTTTTTGTATTCATTTTAGCTTAGTTAAATAGTATGATTATGTGAGCTTGGTAGTCTACTGAGGACAGGGCCCTACAGCAGGGCTTTGGTGTGACCAGCTCTAGCAGCGTGGAGTAAAGAGGAAGCAGCATGCATGGAGGCAGAGGACAAGTAAGTGGCTCGGGCTGTTGAATAAACTACAAGCTAGCACAACTCGGTCCAGTACTCTGCTTGCTTTTTTCACCCAACGTGTGCACGCTGGACAATAAATTAAACCTGCTCTGGCTAAAGCCTTGATTATACTCTATACTAAATGCAAACTATCACACAGAAAACTCTCAACACCACTGATGCATAGTTGTTGCTATTATGCTACTATTCCTATTCATGGAGGTCCATTTGGAGAACTTCAATCTGCAGACACGCAGTATGCTGTATCTGTGTGTTCTGCGCATGCACCCTTTTACAAAGCATGTGCACTATTGCCTTTTTATTGTGACTGACCTGAGGACAGAGCGAACCCTCATGTACTTACGGACGCCGTAAATATAATACTGGCTTGGACTGAATGAACAAAGAAAGATTAGGAGCTGTTACCTCTGAGGAAAACTCACTCAGAGCTTGCAATATTCAAGTTGATGGAATGCTTCTTTGAGAAAAAACAGGAGATTTGGACTCTGCACATAGTCTATCAACAATGCCCCAAGCTTTCTATAATATGTAACACTTCTTATATGATGCAAATGGAACTTTAGTGTCGGAGTTACATTTTTCTTCATTACTGTTTGCCACTATGATTTAATCTCCTTCAGTTAGGAAGGTGAATGGTACAAAGTACATTAACTTTTATACTAATGAATTTATTCAGCAGGATCACATGTAGAATCCTGTAATTACCACTTGTTGTCACTGCTCAGCTGTTGTTACAATGTGGTTTATTATTATAGGCCAATCACACTGAGCTAAAAATATGTCTTTAAGATTCACCTTTGAACTAGGATCTGGTTTAATAGAGTGTATATAAAGCTGGACGGACTTGCTGTGATGATGCCTATGAGTTTCCAAAACTAATTCAAAAGTGATCAAAGAGGTGGCGCCTAGGTGGAGCCGAGACAGGCCATGGGAGACACATGGACTGTCCTATAATGGCAGCTACCTGTCACTCAAAGCGGCCACTTACTTAATTATGCATAACTTTGAGCCTTAATAAAATTCAAATGTGAGAGTTATAGAAAAAATCTCCTCCCTGTACAGTTGTAGTAATTGGAGACCAAAACAATTTTTTTGTACCAGGCCATAAACGCGTTTATCGCAGCTGTAAGACTGAACATTTTATCATGGGGGTCTATGGGAATCAGCCTCAAGTGGTCATCAGTGGGACCACATATTTTTTAGCACTTCCATGTTGGCTTCATTTTTCAGCTCCATGTTTTCCCATTTGTTTTCTCCTGTATGTAGGTCTGGCCAGGTTTAAGGTTTGCTCCGGTTTAGTTTCGGGGCTGCAGAAAGTGGTTCAGGTTTCAGTTAGGACTAAATCCGGAAATAACTGATGTAAATACAGTGAGTAAATATTGTAGGTGAGCGTTGACAAAATACTTTGGTTTGGTCATCCAATTTGTAATCACCAGTGATGTAATGATCCACCTCATTCTATGTTATGTTATGTATTGACACATTTGGAGAACTTTTTTTTTTAAAATTAGAAACGCATCAGGAACAAGTGGCGTTATTCCACCCCATCGAGTCTAGGAGTGGTATCACTTTGTAAGGCAACACAGCAGTTAGTCCTACTTTGGGTTTTAAAAGCAGACTTCTGAAGGAAATTTTGCTTTGGATAAACATATAAAAACAAATCAGAATTTGGACCAAAGATACACACACACACACACACACACACATTTTGTTTAATATTTTGTTTAACAGATAATTTCGATAAATCAGCACACCTGCACTGATGCCAGTCTCTACAATTGAGCCTAAGAATAGACGTGTATGTGGGAGTATTTGACAAAGGTAAAATTATCCTGGATATGTTATTACATTTTTACATTTGCAAAGTCCACTTTCACTGACTATATAAGACATTATAAAATCATTAAGTGTATCATGAATGTCAAATGAAGTCCTCAATCACATTTAATAATGATGGAGTGATGCGTTCAGCTTACCTTTGAGATCCAGACATTCCATGCTGCCACCTACACACACACCCTGCTGAGAGAGAGACAGAGAGAGGGGCAGAAGCAGGAGGTGTGAGGAAAGGCGTGAACACACACACACACACACACACACACACACACACACACACACACACGCTCAGATATCTGGCACCCACAGCACACCATCCACCCTACCCCGTCTCTTTCCGCTCGGCCTCTCCATCCATGCCACACTGTACTGGTTTGATCAGGGAGGCTTATTGGATGCCAGAGTATGAATTATGAATTTCACACAGTTTACCGCCGCCGTTGATGGTGACACGGCGTCCTAATTAACCAGTGTATAATAATTAGAAACAGCTGGTCATCAGTTGATGTGTTCATTTGCCAGAGCCAGTGTTCCACATACATCTAATTTGACTGCATCAATCACCGGAGGTGGCAGATTTGTGCGAATGGCGGAAAACAGATTTTTTTTTTTCC